TCTCTTAAGGGGCCCTTGAGAGTTGTGTGACAGCCCATTGGTGAGGATAGATAGTTTCTCTCAAGTTCACAATGATGGTAAATGTGGTAGTCAGTTCTTGCTCAGCTGAGCCGACTTCAGCAGATCACAATTCCCATATGTCCGAAATAGACACATCATCAGGGCTGTAATATCTTGGGGCAGTTACAAGTAAAACTTTTTCTTCTGTTTCACATACTGCTTGCCCCCCTTTTTGTGCTTTAATTTATCTGTGTCATAATTATATATATATATATATATATATATATATATAAGCTAAAACCTGAAGGAGGAGTTTACTTTATAGCCAGTAATATTTGTCACAAAAAATACATAGAAGAAACCTCAAGGAATCTAACTAAAAGATTATATGAACAGATAATAGGCATTTTATAAAATAATACATCAAATGCATTGGTTGCCCAGCATAAGACTGACCATAATATTGACCTAAAAACTGCTACCATGATCAAAGAAGAAAATAATTTGCTATGACATAAATGTCTAGAAAGTGTCTCAATCGCAAGGACATATACAGTAAATTTGTGCTGTGGCTCTTACAACATTTTACCATTCCTGGCAGATCTTATATCACAGTATGGAATACCTACTTACAAAAGAAAGACTAAATAAATTTGGCTAGATAAAAAAAAAATTAAATCCCCCAGCACCCCTCTGTCATGCGCATATGTAGTCTTGCCAACATAAAATTTAGTCTGATGAAGTCCTGAAGGATGAAACATGTCACAAGTAAACTTTTCCACTTTTTCATACAATTTCCCCAATACTGTTCTTGATATATAAAAATATATATTGTTATCTCTCTCATATATATATATATATATATATATATATATATATATAAGGAAAAATCTATGACAAAGTGGAAAAAGTTTTCAAAGTGATGTTTATGTTGATGTGACAATCCATGTGCAGAAAGGTGAGGGACAATGAGAATTTTAAATCTAATTTTGTTTTTTAATATATATTTTGCAAATTTTTCTAGCAAATTTCATTTTCTTTATTTTTATCACTTCTGTTATTAAATATCGCACATTGTGATAATAGATAATCTATCAAGAAAGGTGAAATGCTGTAAGAACCTTAACATAAATTTACTGTGGATGATCTAGCAATTAAAGTTCTTTCTATACATTTTTGTCTTAGTAAATTGCTCTAGCATTTTTAAATCAAAATTATGATCAGACTCATTACAATGAATAGTTAATGCCTTGAGTGTGTTGCTTTGTAAAAGATCCCTTTTATGTTCATATAATATTTAAATTGCTTGAGGTTTCTCCTATGTATTTCTTTGTGGCAATTATTACAGTCGATAGAGTAAATACTTTCTTCAAGTTTTAGCTTATTATTATTATTTTGTTTTGTATTAATTATTTTATTATTTTAGATGTAGTTATAACAAATTTTATTTTTTCACTAAAATTTTTCAAATACCACTAAGACAAAGGGGGTGGTCATAAAGGTATTGCTAAAAGTAAGAAAAGACAAGTAAATTTGTTTGAAAGTAGTATTGTGAAAAATTGAAGGACAAAAATGGAAAAAATATTCCATGAAGAATATTTCACCCTTCAAAATGACTTCATCAGACCAAAATAATGTTCTTATTGATGGAATTATATATATATATATATATATATATATATATATATATATATATATATATATATATATATATATATATTTCTGTTTACATGTTATTTTTAATAGATACAATTTATTTAAGTAAATGTTCTGTTTTTTAATTAAACAGTATTAATAACATTTACCAGCCTGAATGTTCAAGAAATTTCATAGAAAATATGCGTTCTCCAACAGGAATCAAGCCTACATCCTATAAAGAACTGTCATTTGATCTGACGTGCTACTCAGCTACATAGGGGAAGGTAGCAAAAATATTAATGTAAACTAAAACTTTAATTCTTCTACATGTAATTTTTGGAGCTACTAAGGAAAGTGTGACAAGAAAATCTGAAGTTTCTTTCTTTTTTAAAAAAAAAAAATAATGTTCTATTTTAAAATTTAAGAGCAAATTGTCATGATGCTGATTTGAGAATTTGAAAGCACACAGAAATAGGAACAGTATGATTTAGAAAGTGATTATGATTAAGAGATCAAAAATAAAATTAGAAACAAAAGAATGCAGTGAGAATGCTATATTTGGCAGTAACTGTTGGACAATTTTGCTAAAAAAACAAACTTAAGCAATCACTAAATGTTCAGAATAACAAGAATAGAAAAGACAAAAAATGTTCTAAAGAGGCGATGCATTAATAATTAAATCAAACCATATAATAATTATCAATGTGTATTTCTATATTTCCTGTCCCATTTGTAGTGAGAAGGGAGGTAAATCAACTTAATCACTAATAAATTTACGAACTTAATTCCCAAGACATTTTAATAAACTATACAAACAAAATATTCATCTGCATTTAGACAAAACTAGTTCCCAAGTAAAATGAACTGTTTAATTAATCAGTTCCTTTACTCCTACATTTCTTAGATTTGTAGTCTCATTTGTTCAAGCCTTTCATGTGAGGCACTCAGATACTTTTGTCTATTAAATGATCGTCTTGCTTCAACTTGCTCTTGAAATAGGCATAGTCGTCACCATCTTTCTCATGCCATACCTAATCATTTTCTTGCAAGAGATATTTCCATTTCGCTGTTATATTAAACACATAAGAATTTTTGACATGAAAAGATATTGAGCAAAAAGCAGTTGATATAATAATAATAATCAATGAATCATAGACACTATTGAATGTTTAAAGAATTTAAAAGGTATAGATTAATTAAGCAGTTCATTGGCCTCTGTTTTAATTGCACATTCTTTATCTCTGCCTTATTAAATCCCAATACATTGTTTCAAGACTTTTGTTACATTGCATCTATTAAAGCTTTCTAACAATTACTGTCATTTTTGTTAGCCGAGGTGCACTAGTAATAATAACAATGTTTGTAACCTGTCAAAAAATAGTAATCACCTAGTGTAAGAAAAGACTAAATATAAATTACAAAAAAAATGAATGATCATTAGCCAGCTCAACATGCAAATTACAGATTGGAGATACCGAAATCAAACAAAGAGAAAAATCTAAATATCTGGGAAGTGTTTTAACAGAGAGCAGAAAGTGTGACACTGAAATCCGAAGGTACATTGGGATAGCAAAAGAAGACTCCCAAAAGCTAAGCGAAGTATTAAGAAAGAGGAGAATTTCACTAGAAACAAAGAAAAAAAAGTACTAAACTGTTATGTAATATCAGTCCTCCTATAAGGTCATGAATGCTGAACAATCTCTACACAGATGAAGAATAAAATTAAAGCAACTGTAATGTAATTCTACAGAAGGATGTGGAGAATACCTTAGGCTGAATATGTGAGCAACAGCAAAGTTTTAGAGAAAAATAGAAAGAAAAAAGACCCTTATACTTAACATTAGAAAGAGAGAGTTTGAAATTTCTAGGGTACATGATAAGAGAGCTGAGAAAATCTGGCACTCTAAGCATATTTTGAAAGCAAGAGAGACAGAGGAAAGCAATGAATAAAAACAAGCATGTGTAAATGGTTGGCAGAACAGGGATTAGGAGAGATAGCAAACAGATAAACTTTCTTAAGAGCTACAAATGACAGGAAATTATGGAGAGTTTTGATCACTCATGTCCTTTCAGGACATGGCATATCGAAGAAGCTCAAAGTATTGATTAAGTGTTGCACTATTAATGGGAGATAATTCAAATTCTGGGTCAGCATCACAAGTACAAAAATATTAAACCTTTATGGATTGAATTCAAAATTCAGAGAACATTTCCAAATATGACAAGAACTTTCAAAAGAAAGCCCAATGGTACAACATCCAAGATAAGGATAATTGTTCACATAAATCCGTGTATAATAATAACAATTCCTGATCTCAAAAATAGCCAAACTTTTATGACTATAACAACCAAGCCGAGGACAATATTTTGAATGAATAGATTTATCAGAATGATAATGATTCATTTCAGAAATAAACAAAATCTTGTGTCTACAAGAATAAGGATTGCGATACCAGCTTGAATAAATAAGTGTAATAATAATTCCTGTCTGTTTATATTTCTGAGATATGGTATTTTAACTATTTACATTGTTTGGATTATTGTCCTCATCTTTGTTGCCATATTCCCAATGTTTCAGTCATTGTACACTGCAGCCTTCTTCAGGGTCTGTCTATATGTCTGAGATGAGGTATTGTAATTATTTACACTATTTACATTGTTTTGATTGATGTCCTCATCTTTGTTAACATATTCACAATGTTTTGGCCATTGCGTTCGGTCGCTTTGGACTTCTTCAGGTGATTTGAATTTTAAACTAAACCCTTTATTTCATTTACTGGGATATATTGTTTCAGTTCTACATGCCATGCCTCTTCTGGATGCCTCAGTTATCTCCCTTTAACTTGAATCTCCAAGTTCTTGTTCACTTCTGCAGTAACCAGATGCTACTCACAACTCTAGGTCAAGTCACTGGATCTAACCAAAGTTTTTATCCAAGCACACATGGTCCAGTGGATAAATACCAATTACCTGAAGAATGCCTAAGTGTACAGTGGTTGAAACATTGTGAATATGGAAACAAAAATGAGGACAACAGTCCAAATAGTTTAAATAATAATTCCTGATCTCCAAAATAGCCAAAGAATTGTGACTATGACAATTAAGTCTGAATAATAAGGGTAATTTTTCATCTCAAAAGAATGACACCCTTTGGGAGAACGCTGGTGATGATGATATGTTTTTCGATTGTATTTTTTTAATACCTGAAGATTTGCTAATCACAATCTTAATCCTCTAATGGTAATTCTTTAAGATTAGTAATGGTAGTAAGAGGAAAAAAAGTGATCAGTTTAAAGCAGGAAAGAAGACCGTCACCGAGTGTTTAGTCAGCAGTCCGAGAGAACCCACTGACTGGTACTTACCACCACAGCTAGTAACGCCTGCTCAGTACTTATTGGTAATATTATAAGACTGGGTTCTTCCCGTCTTGAAAATGGTTGAAGGAACACTTTTTGTGTTGGTAGCCTGATTTGCATGCAGGAAATCAAAGAACACGTCAAATAATAATAATAATAATAAAAGACATGAAAAAGAACTGAAAAGGAAATAGCTTCTATAATATGGCAAAAAAAAAAATACAGTTTGTTATGGTTAATAAATGAAAATTAGCAAGCAAAGTTAAACACAAGATTTACTTCTAAAATCTTACAAAAACTTTCAGATCAACTTCATTAGTAATTTGGAAATATCTCCGCCCAACACACTTTCCAAAAATCAGACCAAGCAGAATTTTTGTTTGCGTCTTAGTGAAGTTAAGAATATTTTGGCACCCTCTCAAACAAATTTCTTTTACCCATCCATTGCATTAAGTGTTAACCGACCATTATTTGATTATTAATTAGTACGAATTCATTAGTACAAATTTCAATATTGTTGTGAGGAGTGAACATGTCTTCAGTAAATATTTAATGGCTCCTGGTACATTTGTCCCACAAACAATAATTGGAGGACTCATGTGAGTCCAGGTGAAAATAACAGGTAAAAACATGGAATTTAAACAAACAAGTATTACTAAATATATTAAACTGACATGTTCCAAAAAGGAAAATAAATTTAAATTTGTAAAGAGTTCAAACCAACTTTCAGTATGTGTCTATGAAGTACTTACATGCTGACAAAATGACAAGAGAATGTCTTGTCGCTGTCAAAAAAGAAAGAGGCTTCCAAATCTTGCACCACCTATAATTATCATCAGAGAGCAATAAATCAATATCTTGCCACCTGTAATTATTGTTGGGGGCAGTAAATCAACATCTTGATGCCTGTAATTATCATCATGTGGCAGTAATCTAACAATATCTCGCAGCCTGTAATTATCAACATGGGGCAGTAATCTAACAATATCATATGAGGTACTTATAATTCCCTATGACAAAGTAAATATTTGAAAAATAAAACAAATGCTGTATATCCCAGAAAAATGTATTCCTGATTTTTCCTAAACACAAGCCTTTACCGATGTATTTTAAATATGGGTTCAGTATTATTCACACTTTTATTTGAACAAAAACCTATGTGCAATATTGTATGTGTAAAATAAAAAATAATAATTTAAGGTTAAGGATTAAGAATAAACTAATAACCAGCCACACAGGTTTTTGGAAATATATTGTACTTCCAAAATATGACATATTTGACAGGGTCAGCAGATGCCCACAAGAAAAAAAAGAAAGAAAGGAAACATGATGTGGCAGGGTCTTTTCATTGGTCTATGAATTGATGAATCCACAATGAGTGAGAGTGCAAGATTTTCTGGTAAAAAATGAGTTTCTTGCTTCAAAATTCTTTAGGGAGAAATTTTTTTACTTGGTAGTGAATACATGTGTCTACAAATACAAATAGTCAGCATAATTTCCCAAATGAGGACAACAAAAATAGCCTATAGAGACAATATGCATAGGGCTATTGATTACTATAAGAAAATCTCTCTCCTGGAGAAAAGGTGGTTGATTTGACTTTCAGTAAGAAATATCGATTATGCTACTTTGGTGTATTGGCCTGATGACAGCCAAGATATACAGCCCACTATGGAACAATGACCATAGCTGTAAAATACCAGTTTGAGTCACATATGGTGCTGTGACAATGTCATACAATACATTTTTCCCTCTTTATTGTTTCTTCTTCACTCCTTCCCCCTCAGTTACAAAAATACATATTTAATATTAATCTGTTTTCAAAGTGTAAAATTGGAGGCATATAGACATTACTAATGCAATTGCAACTTTACTGTTTATTGTCCACTCAAGTGATGCAAAAGGATACTGAAAATCCTCATATACAGCCAACTGCATAATGAAATGTGGGAAGACCTCTGGTGAGTCATAAGGATAAACTTACACAAAACCCAAATTCTATTGGCATTCAACTGTTGTTCTTTTAGGAAATAGCTTCTGATCTTGTCAAGCGAGGAGGTACATGTTTAAAAGGTATTATAACTTTTGAGAGGTCACACACCTAACATCTATGTATTACAAGGTAGAACATTAAACAAAGCTCTGACATTCCTGCAGCCTTCACAAAGGGTGCTGTTCCTTGTCCTGTATGTGGAATGCTGTGTGGATCTCAAGCCGGGCCTTAAAAGACCCTGAAGGCACAAACACAAGTAAGGCATCGAGGCTGGAACATGACGTTTAACACTCATACATTAAAAATGACAATAAAGTTCATCATTTTATATTGCTGATACCCACTGAAGAGTGGATGGACAGGTCTGCCTACGAAACTCTGGAGTCGGAATGCTGAAGGTAACATCAATCAACTAAGTGACAAACTTCTGCTCACATTAATCATCTATATATATATATATATATATATATATATATATATATATATATGTATGTGTGTGTGGACACAGAGTGGCAACAATCTGTTTCATGCTTGAATGTAATCTTCAGGCCATTTGTACACACTATCTCTGATATTGAGCACTTTCACTCATAAATATAGTATACTTTAAAATTTTTATCATGTAAATGGGCATTGTTGCAGCTCAGGTATTAGTCTGTTTCATACATAAATGTAATCGTCAGGCTTGAAGAGTGTATTTAAGAATGAAAACAGACTGTTGCTGCTGGGTGTTTGATCTCAATGTCCACTTTTGTATTTACTTACATTCTATCCCTGATATCGAGTGCTCATAAATATACCATACCTTAAAATTATATTTTTATCATCAAGCGTTTTTGCTGTATAGGTAATCTAGGCATTGAGAATTTTACTGTACAGGTAGGTGTTTGCCTTTAAGTTTTTTCTTTTCTATTATAGCTGTGCTTGTTAGAGATTTTTTTTTCTTTGTTTAAGGGTATGTAGGTCTTTTGGTAAGTTGTCCATTGGTTCCACCAATGGCTTTGGGTTTTCTTTAATAATACACACACATATATATATATATATATATATATATATATATATATATATATATATTCAAATAATCAGGTTAGCAGTGACTGGCCACTACTATTAGTTACTTTTGCTTTCACACAATCATCAAGTGGTCAGTGACTTGTAATAAGATGAATGCTCGATATACCACCGTGCAAGTTCAATTTGACAAGCAAACCAAACCTGCACGGTTGGCAAAAGGGTAAATCATCCAGCCAAGGTCCAAAAGGGAAAAATATATTTCCCACCTGGAAAAGCTTGCCAGTATAGCAAAAAAGTGCTCAATAAAGTGAAACTAGTTCCACGCTACAGGAACTGAAGCCTTAAGCCAAAAAGTGCTCAACAGCACCAGACAACCAAATTCACTTCAGAGCATATATATATATATATATATATATATATATAGATATATAAAATCAGTGACTATATATAAATGCAGTGTTTAAATGAGCAGTTCTGAATAGAGTCTGCCCCAAAACAGCCTTCTGGCATAAAAGTTCTCCATGCCACAAGAAATGGCAGAGCTTTTGAATATTAATTCAAATAACTAGGTTAGCAGTGACTGGCCACTATTAGTTTCATGAGCTTTCACACAATCATCATGTAGCCAGTAACATGTAATAAGATGAATACCCTAATTATACACACACACACATATATATATATATATATATAACCTAAGTTTCATTGAGTGTGACTGACAAGGCACTGCCACTAAGCTTTTAATCAAATTTTTCTTGCATTCATGTAAGTATTTTTTTTCTGTACATAAGTGTATGAAATGTTCTAGGGATCCAATCCCTTTTGGATAATCTATTAGCCATTATCAAGAATTTTTTTTATTTTCTAACTGAATATATGGATTCATAAATATATAAATATAAAAAAATAATGAAAATTAAACACAAAATCTTGTGATGATCCAGTATATTTCTCAGGAATTATTCAATTTTTATTTTAAATCCAACATTTTTTATTATTTCGAAAGGACTTCACAGTAAGCAAGACAAGGTCCTTTTTACTCTTTTTAAGGAAATCACATCCCCTTCCTTCAGATTATTTATTTTGAGAGCCCCATATCTGCTCAGTTTCATATCCAAAACATAAACAAGGCCATTTCTACAGAATCAATGATTTTCTTATTTTACTCTAACATTTTCAGTACTTTAAACTTGCTTACTTTATGATGACATGCATTCGATTAAGTGATGGTTTCTCCTACAAAAGGTGGACACAGGTTTGATTCCAGATGGAAGACACATTATCTTTACTAAGACTTCTGGAATGCACTGTTAGACATAATACACACTGTTTGTATATATAAAAATGGGGCATTTATTTCAAATGAGATGTGTCCAACATAAAAATGTTTGAACTTATATACACACACATAATCAATTTAAAAAATTAGGTGATCAGCCAATCATGCTACCTTTGTTTCAATCCTCAGGCAATATTGAACATATCAAAAGGTTGAAACCAAGGTAGCGTGATTGGCTGAAATTTAAAAGTTTTGCATCTTAAATTTTTAGTCCCTTTATATGTGTATTGAACACTTTTTAATACAACTGTTTCCTGGTCAAATTCAACTCTGCACCAATAACAGTTTTATAATTTATTTATATATATATATATATATATATATAAAATATAAAAAAATAAAATACATAAAAAACATATTATTAGTATAAATCATAGTTCTCTTATGCATTGAGCACTATTTTATTTGCACAAGCACTCATGCTATATATATATATATAAGCATCGTACATTGAGTGCTGGTGCTAATAAAACAGTGCTCAATGCATAATCAGAGAAGTAAGATTTGTACTAATATTAAATATACAATTCATTCCTCACTGGTACGCTTGAATATAATCATACAATAGGAACTAAGTTTACATATAGGTGATGATCATTATCACCTTGTAAATTGAAATAATAATTTACAAGGATTTTCAAACCAGTCAGTCGATGATGAATTTTTTTTTTCAGTAATCCATTGACTGGATTGAAAATCCTTGTAAATTATTATTTCAATTTACAAGGTGATAATGATCATTAACCTAATGTAATCTTAATCC